ACATATAATTAATTATGAATCCCATGAAACAGCACATAATTAATCACGTATTAAGGTAGCAAATTTCAGTCTTTTAGGTGTTGATTCATTTTGAATAACTGATTTGTCAGCAATCTCCAATAAGAAAAATTATTTTTCTTAGTATGTATGTACAGCCACTAATAGCACTAGAAATGTCAAATCCAATGTTCATCTAAGAAAAGCATGTAATGAAGTTATCCTGCAACTGCTTCTACTTCCTTTCTTTCTGTTGTTTCACTTTGTGACCCCAGAGTCCAAAGCAGAAGACACTATTACGGTATTAGGAAGACTGCACTACCCATCTGTATTGGCCAGGTCAGTGCCTCTGGGGTCATCCATGTTTAAAGTCAATTTTCTTTTTTGTGTAAGAGAAAACATCAGAAAGGAACAATCGTGCTGTCTTCCATCACACCATGCCAAATACAAATCTGTTCAACAACAAAACATTGAAGCATATTACATAATTATCAGTAAATTCTCCATCTTTTTACATCAGCCATAATCCAATACACAACTGCTTATACTTCAGGATTCAAGTCAACCAAGTTTCTAAGAAACCAAAATCAATAAATAAGTAGAATTCTCATGAACTCAGTGAAAGTCTTGTTGAGTAATAACTAAGAATTTGGCACTTAGTAAAAACATTTCTATATTAATGTACCTGTATAGCACTCTGTACTTACTATATCAAAAATAAACTAACCTCAGATCATGGAGTTCTGACCCCGAGCCGGTTACAAGCATAAATTCTTCAGGATACAGTTGAGAAACTGTTAGTTCAGCATAAACTTTTCCTCTTGGTGTTAGCATATGGCTTATATTTGTGGAACCCACCTACAGAGTAAAATTTGCAATTATTAAGAATGCAAAATAAAATTTTTTAATTCTTAAACATTATGAAACATACAGAAATATGTCTTCACTTGAAAATCAATTTTTTTTGTGTTTGTTCTGCTATGCCACAATAGGAGTGGACAGATACACAATTGGCCAAGCTTAAGCTTTACAGTTGAAAATTCACATTTTTCTTTATAGAAAAAAAAAGAATTTTTTGAACTAAGATAAATCAAGACCTTTATAAGTATTTGTTAATTGTGTTTTAGACAAGGCATTCTTAAGCTACATTTGATTTAAGAATGCATTTTCAACGCAAATTCAATCAGTTTGTTCTCTGATCATCAGAACAAAAATTTCTACATGTGTTATTGACATAAATTTTTTTTTCAATTACATGAATAAGACTTTCAGATCTCAAAAGGATAACATATACTTTGCCTCTTATTTTAAAGAAAGAAATCCTGAGCTGGCTTATGCTTTTGTGGCCCTGATTTTTTACACTTTTATATTTTATGTAGTTGCTGACTATAAATCTACATCTCTGTACATTTGAATCAGGTTCTGTGTAGAAACATGATCTCTAGAGGCAAAATTTCAAATAACAGTTACTTAGCTGTGACCATAAAACATATACATGTTCATACAGATATCATCCATAGAAACAGAAACATGAATGTGCCATAGCTGTTGTGCTGGTCTGGTTCCAGAGGCAGAATTTAACCTCTTTTATTTCAATCTGCTTTCAGAAGAACCTTGTCAATCACCCAGTCAGTGCCCAGATTCCAGACAATGAATGGAAAAAGGAAAAAATATTGGAGATATTAACGTTCTTTTGCAAGGTCATATTACATTCATACGGTTACTAGTTGAATTTTCAGGATCTGATGCTAGTCACACTCAACTGGAGTGTGTGGAATACAAGTGTATCTCTAGTAACTTCACTGAATTATTTTACGATGCAGACAAGCATGAATGGTACCAAAAATCAGACAGCCTAAATAACCAACTGTTGTGAATGCTGAATTTTTAAGTGGAGTCATAAACTGTTCATCCTACTTTGCCATCTAGCTTTCTTTTTCCCTTAGAAACACTAATTAAACTCCATAGAAAGCACTCATTTTGTTCTCATAATTTCCTGTTTAATCTTCCTTTCTCTCCACCACATAAATATATTCAGCAAGTTTTATCCATGCCCACTGATGATGCAGTTACTCCACCTCTACCCCAAGCCAGAAAGAAGACAAACTTTTAATCTATATTGCTATCACAAAATTAATATAGTAAAGAAATATGACTACTTGGCAACTGAGGTTCTTCTTTCTCCTAAACCTACAGAACACCATTCTTGTGTACAGCCTTCCCATTTAGTTGGCTCTGACCTTTGAGAAGAAGTTATCTACCTTCATAACTATAGTCTCAGTGTACTTACTGTTTTCCTATGCTTCCTCCCTCTGGTATCTGATGCAGCTAAAACCATCACCTATAGCAAAAACTTAATGAAATTCTGTGCTGAAATGAGCACACCTTGTGTATGTAGCACTTCAGAAAAGAACAATCTGCTTGCTGGAGGTGTATCTTTGAAGTTAAAGATACTACATGAGAGTGGTTAACAAAGCAGGAAGATAAAGGGACTCATGGAGCTCTACCATAAATTGAAGACGAAGAGCAAGAAACATGGGGTAGTTTGTCCCGATATGCCACTTTTGAAAACAGGATCATATTCTGAGGATTTGTGAACAGTCACACTTGTGGAGAAAGGACAGGTATGAGCTGAAAGCTGAATATCCTGAATATTTGCAAACCTGCCTGCTCCAGGCAGCCAGCTGTAAAACAGAGTCAACATGAGGGGGTGGAAAACAAGCATGGGTCATACTTGAAGAAAACCAACAAAACTGTTCCTCTAGACATACAGGAAGAATACAACATCCAGCTATGGCCAGGCAACAGCGTCTTCCACTGCTATGCTCAGCTGCCTCAAGCTGCCATAGTACAGCACAGTTTTAGGCAGGCAGCTGCCAAGCTATTCTACTATTTACTACTGCAAAAGAATTTCAGGTGAGATTCACTTGGACTTCTTTAGACAAAGATTTGAAACACAGGAGGTTCTGTCTGAACATAAGGAAACACTTTTTTACTGTAAAGGTGGCTGAGCACAGGAACAGGTTGTCCAGAGAGCTGGTGGTGTCTCCATCCTTGGAGATACTCAAAAGCCATCTGGATATAGTCCTAGGCAATGAGCTCCAGGTGACCTGCTTGAACAGGAGGTTGGACAAGATGACCTCCAGATGTCCTTTCCAACCTCTTCCAACCATTCTATGATTCAATGATCTGTGCCAAAAGGTACTCCTACTTGGGGCTGCTTTAGTATAAACTCCACTATTCATGCTCTTAACTGAGTGAAATCCATCTACTGACACAGCAATTTCTCCAAAGGATCTGAGTGTTTTGTATCTGAAAGATACGGCAATAATATTAAGCTTCATTTTCTATTTCTGAAACAGATCTTGTTTGCCTAAATCCTACATTAAAATAGTTATCACTGTCCCATTTACCTTTGGAACAACATTTGCAAATAGATGATCCAGCAGCTTAACAGAATCTGTGCCTTTTACTTTAAACTTGCCAAATGGTGACAGGTCAATCACACCGACTTTTTCCATAACCTGTTTATACTCACGACCCACAGGGTCAAACCAATTTGTGCGCCGAAAACTGGGTCTGAAACAGAGCATTTACACACATAAAACACAATTTGGAAATTTCATGCTCTTTTCAGCAAAACGTAGTCTTCAGTTTCTTCAGTTTAATAATCATTCAAAACAGATAGACTTTCCTAATTGTAGGTAGCTTGCCCAATATTTTCCTTGGTCTATCATAGCTTAATTATAAAATCTTTTAACAACAGAGAAAGATATGGATTGATATTTTATCAACCATTTTGTACAATAAACTGTGGACTGTTCAAAGCTAGGAGAAGTAGTAGTCTGTTGTGTGAATTTATAGCATGCTTTGTTGCTGAATCATTTATTTGAGTTTTAAGGTGTCAAAGGCTTTGTTTCTGAACAGCAAAGTGTGACTCATTATTCATTTGAGAGTCTCATTTAGATTGGGACTCCAGTATCCCTGTGGAAAACATTTATTTGCTGGATGCTCCCTGATGCAAACAGGTAACTAGGTGGGCAGGGATGGGGGATGGGGGGACGAGTCATTTGGAGGGGGGGAAAAAAAAAAAAAAAAGGAGGATTTGGCTTCTCCTTTCCTGAGAATTATATGGAGAGGAATGAGCTATTTCATGAAAACATTATACCATGTTGCTGATCAAATAATGAGAAAGTGAGAAAAACATGAATTTATAATGAACAAATTGTACTCTAATCTTTTCCTAGAGCTAGGCTGCTCCCTGATATCCCAAACCTAGAAGAGTTACAGGATACCTTGATGTGTGTTTTGAAATGTCTGCATTATCAGAATTAAATGGATTCTAAACTATGGAAAAAACAGGAATCGAAGACCTACCTAATAGATACCTTTAGGCAAAATGAATGATAAATGTATGCTTTTCATTAAATTTAACTCAGGTGGCCCTTGCTATCATGACAATTTATCAGTCGGAAAAAAAAGTAATCTTTCATTTACTTGTATCCAGTCTCATCTCCATGTTTGTAGAACCAATGAGGTTGCTCCCATCCTGCATGAAAGCCCATTGAACATTTTGACTTCAGCAAATCATACAGACCACTGGTTCTCTCTGTTGGTCTCCCAGCAAATCTTTCTTCTTTAGGATAACCAACTACACGGGAAAAAAAACCAAACAAAAACCATAAACCATGGTGTACTAAGGTCATCACCAAGACAGAATACATATATATAAACACGGAAATATAGAGGCAGGCTTTGTTGTAATTAATTTTCAGAATATAAATGTATTCAAAAAAATACCTTCTTACCAATGTTATTAAAACCATAAGATTCTCTTGCTTTGGCTGCTGTGTATTCTGTGGTGGTCCACTTCCCATAGCGGTTGGGATCTAATTCTATCAGGTCAAATGGAGGCTCCCCCTCAAGCATCCAGTCACTGAGGTACTTTCCTATGCCACCAGCATGTATAATGCCATACCTTAAAAACAGGAAAAAGTCCTGCAGTGCCAATTTGGTTTTGGTTTGGTTTGGTTTTAAAAATCAATACTAGCATATACTACTATTATACCCCCTAAATTATGTTATTTTTTTCCCTCTGAGTTTGGGTAATTTTTTTTGGTTTGTTCTGTTTTGTCTTGTTTTGACAGATAGTCCTACTGTCCCACTGTCAGCAGCAGAACTCCATTGCTAACGTACAGCAGTTGTGGTGCTTGAGATTACAGCAAGCTCCTTCTTTCTCTAATGTTCAGAATTTACCGATCTTTTCCAGAGACCTTAGTACTCTTAACAATTAATACTAAAGAAAGTTCTCAAACTTCTGATATCCATTAGATATACTTTCTAGTCACAGAATACCTCTTCTTTTTCAATCAGGTTTGATTAAACCAGACTCAGATTTGAAAACCAGACTGAGACATTCTAACAGCTACAGCGAGTACATCACAGTGACAAAAGCAACAGCAGCAAAACTCAGGAGACAACACTACCAAGATAGCTTTAAAGAAGTTGAAATATCAGCAGTACTTTTTATATTGCTCTACAGAAAATCAGGGAACATAGAGGAACTGGGGATAAAACTAGAAGACTTATTTGCAGTGATGCCACAGTTTGAGAGCTGCCTTTTCTCACTTGATTTACCTTCTCTGTTCACTACTACAACTACAAAGAGAACTGGATCCAGAAAGCTTATGCTAACAAAACAAACATGAAGAAATTTTCTGCTACCAGTTTGTAGCAAAAGCCTGTCCTGTTTCTCCATAATGAGCGTGTGAAGGATCAAACTGTAGAGAAGATCTCTTGTTAGAAACCTACATTAACAGAACCACACCAGACAGCAAAGGTAGATGCTCAAAAGCTATGAAGTGATAGATTTAAGGTTTCCTTATTTAAACACTTTGTACACAATTCTAACTTTCAGAATGTTTGACATTTTGACATCTACAGGGAAAAGGCTGTATGTGAAATGTGCTCCTGCAAGCTACCTGAACTGAGCAGCTGGGGACAAGGATCTTTGTTGTGCTGCAATATATGTGTGTCGCTACTTGGTTTACATACGACCAAACAGTACCATGTAATACTAAATTACAGGCACCCCAGATTTGACACTGAAATGTTTAATGACAAATAATTATTAATACCAAATTATTTAAAAGTTTTCATTTTAATACCTCTGTGAACTAGTTTGCCATGTCTAAAAAAAGAAAATGTCAAAATAGCTTTCTGTCTAGGGAAGATGTGAAAATAAATTCCTGGTTATTTGTGAAATGCTCCAATAAGCACAACAGAAAAATCCTTGAAGAAACAGTAAGTCTGTCCAAAAGCAATTTTAGATTAGCATGCAGCCATTAAATCACAGACACTCGCATTCAAATAGCGAAGCTAAAACAAACTTTGATTGCTGCTCATCAGCTTTGCATTCTGAATTCTATGTCCGCAATTAAATAGGCAAGCATCTTACTGGAAAAAAAAATGTAATCATTTCATTCTAATGCATATGTATAAGAAGAATGAATTCAGATTACAGAGACAACTTAGTTCTGGCACTTGCAGAATGCCTGACTTCATAATATTCATAAGATTACTTAGATATAGAGGGGTTTTATCCATAATTTATTTAAATAAAACAGAAATATCAAACAGCTGAGTACACAAAGTAATTCTGCCAAATACACTCCTTTAGCCTGTTCAGTACATATCTTCAGACTCTTAGCACAAGCCTCTATCATTACAGCTGATGCAGTAAGGACGAGTGCTTGTAAACTGCCACTCTCCAAGTATTACAGAAGAATTAGCCATTGCTATTGTCAATTTTATTAAGCAACTCTTAGTTATTTATAAGTTTTGTGACCATGGCTATGATACCTTCAAAAACAGCTCCAGAAGAAGTTTTAGCCAGTTTAAGTCTCCCTGCACTATTCACTGCAGCTAAAAGCACAGGAGAACAAAGCACAGAGACCACTGCATGACTGTGGTTCGTGACAGACCAAATACAATGAAGTTTTTTAGCTTCAGCTGAAGACTGCTCAGCCGATGGCAGGGTAACCCCGGGGGTAAGACAGCCCAGAAGGGACGTAGAACTAGGTCGAGTTGCTACTACAGGTCCAGCACTGCACCTGGGCTGACTGGTTTCTGCACTCTGCAGAGCTTTGCAGCACTGACTCTGCACAACCAGTTGCTTTTGGTCCTCCTAGATGGGCCTACATTATCAGAAATGTTAAATTATGCAGGGTGCCCAAATCCCTCATTACCTCAGATGATGGGGAGCTGATTATATTAATATATCCACTGCAGTTCTGATACACAAGAATGAAACACATGCTATGCAGGGATAGGCTATTACAAGTAGCTGTAAAGGGTGGTACAGTTTAGGAATCTCAGTCTTCATATGAGGATTAAGAGAAAATTTACTTAATGAACACAAACTGCCCTTCTCTGTTTTTCTTCTCTCCTTCCAATCCCTGCCAGATAATCTTGCCATTGTCCCTGTCCTATTCTTGTGCCTTGTTTATGAGTCCTTGCTTCTCACCGACTTTTGACTCATTCTATTCCTTTTTCCTAGCAAATCTGAGTCCCTGCACACCATGGTCCCTTTTCTAGTGGCTTTGTCCCAGGTTTATTTATTTTTCTAACCCATTTCTGCAGGAAAACTCTTGTTCAGTCTCTGGTTTTGGAGATCTATCCACCACTGTACATAGAATGCAGGAATCTTAGTGCAAAATTTAGTGAGTCTCTACTAAGTGTTTATGAGCTGTAACATTTATAAAGGCTTGTCAACAGGCCTCATGGATAGATTTTGTGAAGAACGGTAGAAAGGCATATCTTTGGGAGAAAGTTCATTTCTGACAAACGTTAAGTTCATTCTCAGAAAATGGGGAGATAGAGGTTTTCAAAAGAAAGACTTTGCCCCAAAAACCTTAACACAGCAAAACAACATACCTTCCAGTAATCTCATTCTTTGGAATGCTTACACTGCTTTGACTTCAACTTTTCTGAGTAAAATTCTAGTCTACTCTTGTTAACATTTTCAAAGCTCTAACTAACTGAAAACGGGAAGCATTGAGCAACCATAATAATAAACAGTGCTACAAGCTCTGCTAACTATACTTACTAACTTCTTTGCACATTAAAATACCTAGCAAACTGCTAATTTTAGATAATAAAAATCCTCTAAACTAACAGCCTTCTGTCACAATGTCCCTGCCAGTTGACTATGAGATAAGGATTTGCTAATGCACACAAAAAATTACAACACTGGTAGAAACACTGCAGTGACCCAGAAGCATAGAACAGAGTCAAAAGTCCCTAAAAAGCAGACAAAGCAATCCAATGACAGCAACATAATTGTGACCTGTGTCTAAACATTTAGAAATTAATCAACTTTCCAAAATAAGTTGTTTAAAGAAACTTAAACAGATAACATTGGTTTTCATTTTTTGCTATACGGAAATCTGACTCTGCTGCCATTGACACCATGGAGGAAAACAGGTTCTAAAGTCTGGCAGCAGAGTAATGAACTTAAAGACTCTTTTTGGGGAAGAAGGACTAGGCAAATGACTTTCGTAACTATAAGTTCTGCAAATGTTACTAAAAGATAACATTTTTTTTTTTAAATCTATGTAGCAAAGGTGAATACCTTTCACAATGAATCATTGCAAAATTACTAAACCTTTTTATTTTGAGGGCCTCGGAAAGCATGTTAGTGATACTGCCTTATCTTAAGATCTGAGGGTTTGTTTGGTTTGGACTGAGAGAAAACTGGAAAAAGCTGAGCTGGATTTTGAACAGCATATTAGGCAATTGGAATAACAATGTAAACAGAACGTGTTCAATAACATGTGCCTGGAATTGTATTCAGTTCATTCTATCCATCTTGAATCAACGGTCAATCTAGAGATAATTAAAGAGAAGTCAGTTAAGAATTTTACCACTGACTTCAGTATGGCCAGAGTATATAAGATGTAAATCATATTCAAAGAAAATATCATAATGGGCAGGAGAATGACACCGGTAAAACACTCATTCCTGTTGTCACACTGCCCTCTTCATCTGCTTTCCTCCAACACCCAGCAGTGTCATTCTTCAGCTCAGCCTTCAACAGTCAGAACCCTTACTGTGTTCATATCCCTAGAGCAGTCAGACATGCACTATGCCAACAATGCCTCTGCTTAGTATGCCTTCAACTCTTCACTCGAAAGTTAATACTTCATATTAAAAGTTCTTGTAACCACTCATTCTTGCCCAACTTGCCTAAATGACACCAGTTTCTGCATATGCCAAACAACTGTTGAACATAATGTAATTCAAAGCAATACATAAAACGAACTGGCAAGTGTATTGTAAAAACCAGCACTTTTATGACTTTAACTTGCTACACAGACAGTACCAAGTACTACCCATTTCTTGCTGGTTCATGAAGTGTCATAGATGTTGACCTCCAGAATAAAAGGAGGAAACAAACTGAAAAAATAGTGAGAGTTATGAAGAAGAAGAAAGAGAGAAGGATGAGCTTCTGTTAAGTAGGTAGTCATAATTAAGACTATTTCCAATTACATTTTACATAAAATATGTGCAAAACAACCCCCAAACCCATAAAAATATGCAAAGCTTGATCTGACTGCCATTTTAACAATATGACACACAAAGTTGTCATGAAGAATTTACTCACCCGAAACCAATAGCAACCCAGTAATTTCTGACACCCTGATGTGGTCCTACCATAGGGAGAATGTCCGGAGAATAGGTGATAGGACCTGCAATTGTGTTTACGATGTCTGCTTTTTTCAGAACGGGGACCATTTCCATAGCAGCTTCAATATGCTCCATTATTCTGTCTAAATCAGACTCAAAAAGTTCTTTTCCAAAACCTGCACAAATATTTGACTCTTATTATATACTTAATTATATACTTAATTATACTTAATTATACTTAATTAAACTGAAAATACATTTTAAATACAGTTAGGTAATCTAGGTATACAAAAGTTACATGGAATTAATCAGTGAGTATGTTCAAGCCTTTGCCATCCTACACAAGAAAAATGGTGTGCATAAATCTCTAGTTACCTGCACGATCAAGTTTATTGTGATTGCAGTCATACTATCCTTTATACATATTTATTTAACCCTAAAGTCATGCAAATTCAACAATGAAGTAGAAAGGAAGTGAAGAAACACAGAAACTTCCTTGTGTGTTAACAAGACGCACATATTTTTCTCAATATGCCAACAATTTGGGGAGAGGAAGAAAGATATTGCCTATGTCAGCTTATAACTTCCACAGTGTTCAGTGAATTCCTGGATATATTTCACCCTTCAGTCTGGGCTCTGAGCATTATTGAACATCACTCTGTAGAGGTACTTGATACTACCGGAGCTAGTAACTTCAGGAAGCTGTGACAGTGCAATCCAAAGCCAAACAATGCTGATTGCTCTTCCTTAGGAAACACATTGTGCTTTTTTAACACAGCAACACTATTGATTTAATATAACTTTCTGTCTAAATGGAAATTAGATGGAAAGCTGGAGTCTAGATATAACACAGCAATTCATTTTTTTTTAATAAGCAGCAGTATGACATAGGATTTTTTTTACAAAAATTCTATACAAATCTACAGCTTTCTTGCACCTATATCTGAGCACAGCACTTTGCCTAAGACATTCCTTAGCTACACCTGTGTTCCTATTTTATAGAATCAAAGAATGGTTTGGTTGGAAGCAACCTTAAAGATCATCTAGTTCCAACATCCCTGCCATGGCCAGGGACACCTTCCACTACACCAGGTTGCTCAAAGCCCCATCCAACCTGTCCTTGAACACTTCCAGGGAAGGGGCATCCGCAGCTTCTCCAGGCAACCTCTTCCAGTGCCTCACCACCCTCACAGGGAAGAATTTCTTCCTAATATCTAATCTAAATCTTCCCTCTTTCAGTTTAAAGCCATTGCCCCTTGTCCTATCACTATATGCCCTTGTAAAAAGCCCCTCCCCAGCTTTCTTGTAGGCCCCTTCTAGGTACTGGAAGGCTGCCCTAAGATGTCCCCAGAGCCTTCTCTTCTCCAGACTGAACAACCCCAACTCTCTCCATCTGTCTTCATAAGAGAGGCGCTCCAGCCCATCTTCATGGCCCCCCTCTGGACTCGCTCCAACAGGTCCATGTCCTTCTTGTGTTGGAGGCCCCAGAGGTGAAGGCAGTACTGCAGGGGGGGTCTCATCAGAGCGTAGTAGAGGGGTAGAATCCCCTCCCTCTACCTTCTGATCACACTGCTTTTGATGCAGCCCAGGATATGGTTGGCTTTCTGGGCTGTGAGCACACATTGCTGGGTCATGTTGAGCTTCTCGTCAACCAGCACCCCCAAGTCCTTCTCTCAGGACTGCTCTCAATCCGTTCTCCACCCAGCCTGTGTTTTTGCTTGGGATTGCCCCAATCCATGTGCAGGACCTTGCACTTGGTCTTGTTGAACTTCATGAGGTTCACATGGGTCCACCTCTTAAGCCTCTCAAGGTCCCCCTGGATGGCATCCCTTCCCTCCAGTGTGCCAACTATACCACAAAACTTGGTGTTGTCAGCAAACTTGCTGAGGGTGCATTCAATTTCACTGCCCATGTCCTCAACAAAGATGTTAAACAGCACTGGTCCCAGTAATGGCCCCTGAGGAACGCCACTCGTCACCAGTCTCCACTTGGACATCAAGCCATTGACCACAACTCTTTGGGTGCAACCATCCAGCAAATTTCTTATCCCCCAAGCAGTGCATTCGTCAAATCCATGTCTCTCCAATTTAGAGACAAAGATGTCGTGCGGGACAGAGTCAAATGCTTTGCACAAGTCCAGGCAGATAACATCAGTTACCTGACAATCACATTACCTCTGTGGGAACACCAACGTTCCACAGCACCTGTCAGTACGCTGGAGAGAACTGTAGCTTAGAAAAACCGCTATTCAGTTGCAAAAGGCTACAGAACACAGATTTGGTGACTGCATCTAATCAGAACACACAGGAACCTGTTCAGGGAGTAGGGTAAGACTATGTTGTAGATGTGTATTTTGTGCTCATTTCAAATAGGCTTTTTTTATGTTACATATTTTTTTCTATTTACTCTTATCATTACAGTTACGACTATTCTTTGAAAAAAAGTTTCTGCATTACAATCATGCCTTGCAAATATTTTCTGTTTTCCGTCACATAAGGCAGCATGACAGGCTGGGATTTATACACATTAAAACATATGCTAGAGCTTATCAAGTTTAAATATTTAATGTTCTTAATTACCTGGTGGGACTCCATTTGTTACCCATGAGTCCTGCAGCTTCATCTTCTCCTCACTTTCATATGGACCAAATAAAAGACCATCCCTTTCTTGCCTCAAATAATATGATCCTTCTAAGTCACGAATCACAGGCAATTCTGTTTTCAGGGCTTTCACTTCAGGGATAGTTGATGTCACAACATACTGATGATGAACAGGTATGAGAGGGTGCTGCAGGCCAATCATCTTGCCTATGTCACGGGCCCAGAAGCCTAGAGAAGACAAAAACCAAAATGAAATATTCAAACAGTAATTTCAGTGAATGGAAAATAACAGTAAAACATTTGCAGGAAGCACTGCGCTTTATGGGATATAACAAAGAAATTTTTTTCCATGCTTTTAATTTTTGAATTACTTTTCATGTTATCCAGCATAATTTTCCCTCCATAATTCCATGTCCCTGTTCCTAATTATACTACCACTTATTATTCTAATATACAGGTATTAAAAAAATATAATTGGTAAAATGTAAATTAGGCTTCTAAAAGTTCAGAAGAGAATTTAATTAACAGTTCCACAGTCCCTGTGGTTTATTTCAGTAAAGTAGGTCTGCAATGCAGTCCTAGGAAAGTCAGAGACACTTAAAAATCACAATAAATTAGTTCACACCATAGGTGTTGACCTAGCCTCTTACTAACAACCAAATGAGCTAGTATGCTTTCCCACGACAGTAGTCAAGTCCTAAGAACCCCACAGAGCAAGGCAGTACTTTCAGCTGGCTAACCTGAACAATTTAAATTTCCCTCCTCTTTCACATGTATCATATGACTCATATTAATGATGTCTCTCACACAGCAAACAATTCATTACGATGTTCCTATTGGTGAGTAGTCAGTGTGCCCTCCCATAGTTGTCCAATTTAGTTCTGATACAGACTGTGACCAGAAAATACAAGCAACAATTTCCCTATCCCTGAAGCCTGCTCAAGGTCCTTCATGTATACTACTAGGCATAAGTTAAGGAAGACCTAATTCTTCTCTGTTAAGGTTAAGCTGGTAAGACGCATTCACTTAGTGAGGTATCTGTGTCAAAGTCAATGACTTAACTGTCAAACTTACTAGTCTGGGCTCTGCATCATGGCTCACATCTGCTGTGAGGTTGGAACATATAGACCTTGGAATCAGACAGATAAAATTGACTGGGATGGCAGCTGCTCTAAGAAGCTTGGAAAATCCCTCAGCCCCACTCTCCTGTCTCTTCGGATCAAGGAGCAGAGGTCTCGGAAGTAGGAATGAAGGGGGAAAATCCAATGAAACAGGAGTTTATGGGAGACTGGGGGTGAGGGTTGGGGGAAAGCAAAATGGAAGAGAAAGAAGAGGTAGCAGGGCCTTCCAAATAAAAGATGATGTGCTGTATGGCACCCAGGAAAAGAAGGCAGGTCTGTCTGGTTCCTGTGTAACCATCTGACTCCAAACTGTTTATGAAAAAATATCTCCTGCAAGATTTGCTACCTAACACAGCTGCCCCTTCTCCTGGGACTTACACTCATGTTGCGCAGCTTAAGGTATAGCTTTTCTTCCTTTTTGCTTCTTACTTGTCTTACCCAAATGCTCCTACCTCTCTCATCAATTCCATAGTCTCCAAGATCTGGTCAAAATTTAGTTCTCAGAGCCCTGAGGGCACTAACAGGCATTAATGATCTTGAACAGCGTCAGCTGGGACTTCCACCCACACCCCTGCCCATGGGCCCAGGAGCCCCATTTCAGGTCAGCTCAGGATCTTCGGGACCTGTCTGAGCTGGACTGATTGTAGGTGTGACTGTTTACAGCTCTGTCACAACCATGTCTGTGCCTGGCCATGGACCTCATTGATACAGACCCTGATCTGTGGACTGCTTCCCAGCTTGACCTCAGACCAGTCTCATCTCTGTGGTCCTGCCTGTCGATCACTGGACAGTATCTCACCCTGGTTACTGTCACCAGACCTGTTCCTGACCTGTGGATAAACTTCCTGGCTTGGCCTCAGTCTGGCTTCATCACTATGGATCTCCCTGTGCTTGATCCCCACAGGCTTGTCTGGAGATCTGGACTGTGGGTTGACCCCAGCTGCTGGTGCTGGGCCTGCCCTGCTGCCTCCCTTGTGCCCTGCAGGACGGAGCCCTTGCTGGCTCGGCCCCTGCCCTGCCAGCCTTGTTACAACGCCGGCTCCCCGTCCCGCCGACGCTGGCTCCCTGTCCTGCAGGGAGCAGCTGGCCCCTGCTGCTTGCTGACGTTAAATTAGGAATATATCTGCTCATCTCTGGCGTGGTCTAAAGCCAGGGCAGTTAGGAAAGTTGAGTTGGGCTGTGCTGGGTTTGTGCAATTCCCCCACGCCAGGAGGGCTGTCAGTCTCTTATTTAATATTACAAACCAGCCCCCGGGGTCTAACACCCACAGTTTTTAAAAATGCAAAGTTTCTGAGGAAAACGTTTTCTTTGGTGACTCACATGACAGTTGCTGACACCCAGCTAAAGCAAGAGAGCAGGAAATCCAGAATCATGATAGACAGATCTGTTCAATTAAAAGTCCCTGCCCAGTAAATACTAAAACCCAGTATCTGTTGTTTTGCATTTATCATATGTATGGCTTTTGCTTCTTAATGGCATCCTCACCACTTGGAGAAGACTCAGTGACAGAGCACTTGTTAAGTCAGTTAAATTGGGTCAGGGAAGATCATACTGTAGTCATACACTGAGTGATCCAAAACATCCTTTAAGGCTACTGAAACCTGATTTATGCTCCCTTATACAAAAAAAACAACCAAAAAATCTAATAAAGTTGAATTTAAGCACATCTGCAAGAGTTTCCTCCATTACACATGACAAATACAAATGTGGATATAAGTGGAGGCTAACAATCTTTAGGGAAATTCTTTTGATTTGGACATTTCCATGTCACCTACAAAGAAAATACTTTTAAGGTAAGACCAGCTAATGATGCACAGAGGAGAAGGAAAGGTGAAGTATTAGAAAATTCCATCTCTAGCATCATGCACTCTTTTCCTGCCAAAATTCCTTGGACTTACAGAGATATTGGGAAAAGAAATAATGCTCTGGGAAAGTACTTCTAATAAATTCACTATTTTGCTTACCAATTAAAATAGGGAAAACAGAGACAGCAAGCATAGTCAAGCTCCTCAAAGAAAATAAAAATAGTAGACTTAATTTTAGGTCTTTGGAACTTAACTTTGTTTCTTTCAAAATACTATTAAATTTCTTAGCCATTAAGTTTGCAGAAGTACATTAAATACACCTAATTTTAAATTGCTTTTGAATTAAAGGCAAATAGTTTAGGTTTGCTTTAAATAAAATCTTAAATATTGTACTTATTAAAAAAATCACACTTATGATAAGTGCTTATTTAATTGCTTAGAAAAACAACAGCTCACATTTACTAAATGAAAAATATTACAGTTTCCTTATTTAAAGTTTTTGAACCATGTACAAAAGCTATTACAAACACAGAAATGACAAAAGGAAGAATATGTTCTAGGAAAAAAAATTCTAATTGGAAGCAGATGTCAAGTCCTATCACACATAGTAGAGATAAACCAAGGGATAAATTATATCTCTAGGACATTTGTGAAGATTAAATTGTAGAGATTGCAAATATCTGATGCTGAAATATTTAGTGGTGGTATTACTTAGCATATCTGCTGAACTATGTAATCTAACTATCTCATTTTTTAAAAAAGAAAATGTTCCATCACTACATGTATATAACTGGTTGTATATACAGTGTGCACATGTCTGCAGATGTGTGTTTATATACACACACACATACTGTATATAGAAACTAAATTCACTATTTTTGCAGACTTTAATCAAACATTGCATTATAAATAGGCTGCGAATCACTTCAGCAGGCTCAGTACCAGTCAGTTCATGTCAGGGATTATTTATTAGGCATCTGCTTTCTTCCAAAATGGAAATCTCGCATAAGGAACAGCTAAAGATTGGTTGAAACTAGTTTGTTCCAGTTCCACAGCAGATGTCAGTTGGGGGATGAGGGGGGAGAGAGAATGCGGAGAGCCTTCTGATATATTTTTTTCTGCTCGTATTGCAACATGAGCCTAAAATATGAGCTCTGAATTACACCAGTCATCATCTGTAGTGGAATGAGGCAAGGCTGAGAAGAAGAATGAATGTTAGCTGAGAGAACATTTATAAGAGATATGTGTTATGCAGTATGGATTTCATATCCTTAGCCAGAATGTTAAGCAATATGTGCTTCGAATGTTCACTTTGGCTGAACAGTTAGCTACAATAGAGAATTAACTAAATAGATTGTTGGTTTAATAACTCATTAAATAATTAAAAAAATACTTATGAAAATTTCACAAGGGTACATTCTATTTTGCAAATAAACTTTGAAAAGTATTTACTAGAAAACACTGCCTAATGTCAACTTAATACATAAGCCAAAGAAAAATGACTACACTACAAAAATAGAAGGAAATTACTACATCTGTAATACTTCATCTATATGATGCAGAGCCAATAGTTAGCAATAATGAGTGCCTAGAAGTTCGTGGCCTAAAGAAGTCTGATCGCCAAAAGAGCTGCCTTTGCATTCCATAATCTTGGATCACTCGCACACCAATATAACCATAATACTGTGTAAAAAATGACATAAGGATCCTATTAGTAAGAGAGCTTGTGATTTTGTAACTGAATGCTGTCGCATAATTCATGCCTGAAAGCCATGAACTGACAGTCCAAAGGCAATCAAATATTCTTTCATCTTCTAAGTGCTTGACTTTGCAGTCTAAGTAAAATTCTTTTAATTTGGTTTCCCTGTTTGTGTGGTTGTTTGCTTTCTAAAAAGTCTACTGAACTCTTCTAGTCCTCTTTCTCTCCAAAATATCCTTATGTGGCACTCAAGAGCATACTTAGAATCTCAAGGTGAATTTTTTCAAATCCCTGTTATTTTAGCTAGACTTATAGCAATAGCAGGTGATCACTTATGTATGGGAGGCATATGATGAGAAAGCAGACTTTTCAATAGGTTTCCCAGTTAGTTTTTACTGAAAGCCTGGAATGATCTAACACAGAGCTGACACTGAACAAAAGGTCACCCAGTAAAGCTCATCGTCTCAGAGTTCAGCCCTTTTATCCCATTCCCTCCAAATTTCTCTCTATCCCAATCTTCTCTCTTCTCTATCCCTGCTTGTCCCATACCTGCTCTTCTTTTCTGCTGTCTCAAACTCTGCTTTTCTTATTCCACTCCTTACATCTTTCTTCAGCTATTTTATCTCCGTGTGCAAGTCAGTATCCCTTGTTTGTTGATTCCTTGTCAAATCCTGCCTTCTCTTCCTTCCAGTTGACTCCCATCTACCTCTCCCTTGCTACTCTGCTGGTCTTTCATGCTCAGAGAGCTCAGGCAGCCTCAATTTTCCAGTCTCAGTTTCATACACAACAATTCCTCATCTTTTTGTCCAAAAAGCTCCAGCTTCAGGTCTCCCAGTGAAACATGTCAGATCCCTTTCCTCTATCCCTCTCTATGGTGTCATCCCCACTGTTGCCATCACCACAGTCCCTTCTGGTTTGAGCTTCCTTATTCAACAAGTTGTCTAGAACATAAGTGTTCCACTTGCTGCCAGTGCTCCCAGCCACCTCCAGGAACCTTTCCTAAGCATTTCTTTCTCCCAGTCTATTCCCCTTCCAGTTCAACTCACTCATAATTCGAATTGTCAGCCATGGTTATTCTGTCTACCAACAAGGACAGTCCCTGTCTCACTCAACTTCTCCATTGTATCTGCTTTGCACTAGAAATAGATGCTTTTTTCTTTCCACTGCACAGATGCAGAAAGGAATTATAAAGACATATCCTTGCTCTCAATTCACTTGTCCCATCTGAGCAAGAAAAGAAAGTCCTCAAGCCACCACAGCTTCCTACTGAAGCATGATTATTCACTGAGATGGGATGTATGAAAGACTCATGCCCTAAAAATGCAGGTAGGATTCAGTTTGAGAAAGACAGTCTGCAAAAATTTCATCCAAATGGTAAATATTCAGCATGTTTTCAAACAATTGAAAGCAGAAAGTCTTCTGCTAGGAAGTAGAAGGCATGCTTCATGTAGGAGGTGCCAACAGTTTCACCAATAATATATTTTTCTATAACTTGTATAAAGCAGCATAAAAATAAGTGAAGTTTAGATTGAATACAGGTTTTTAGACCTATCAACTTGTTTAGGAAGACAAACACAAATCCAAAGGACTCTTGCCCAAAAGTTCTTTGAAGCAGAAACATCAGTTTGGCTTCTTTAACACAATGAAGAACAAAAAATTGCATATGTACATACAAGCTCCTTTGACCCAGGAAATTTTTATTACATCAAAAATTATATTGTTAAGCCAAGTGCATATTTAAAATACCACTCAAAGGGCAACAAAAATCTTCTGTTTCAAGGACAAGTGGATAGAGTTAAATCTTAGAGAAAGATAATACTGAAACAGGTAGGCTTATCTTACTTGCTGCAAATCCTCAGTCTCTTTGAAAAAAGCGTGAAGACATTTCTTAATTTGTATATCCCATCTCCCTTCCTAAGGAGCTTTCATAAGATTTTAGAGGACAACAAGCATAGACAGTATCCTCTTTCCTACACAACTTACTGTAGACCAGTAAAGATCTCTTCTGCTACTAAAATTTAACAAGACAGTCTGACTAGTAACTGCTGGACACAAACCAGAAGAATATTTCTAATGCCTAGTCAGGGATAATTAACATAGGAGGTAAAGTTTCACAATACTGTCGAGTAATATGTGCAAAGTCCATCTTACCACAAACCAAGTGAATGTTCAAAAACATGTATTACTTATTCCTGTAATCCACACAATTCTGTACAGATGCTCCATGTCAGCTAGTTTGTAAATCTGAAGAGTATGCAAATGCTTATGTTAAATCCTACCTGCAGTATTCACAATTCTCTTTGCTTGAATTATTCCAAGTGGAGTTTCAACTTCCCAGGTCCCATCTGATCGGTAGTTCAGATTAGTCACTTGGACAGGATAATTTAGTTGGGCACCATATTTTCTGGCTCCTGCAGCCAAGGCCATAGTGAGAGAATAGGGATCAATATGACCATCTCCAGGGTTATACAGGCCAGCTAAAACCTAAGTGGAAGTAAAATCCCACAAAATGAAAGAAATTAAGAGTTATCAAAATTAACTAATTTTTTAAAAAATGCTTTCTTTCTTGAATGCAGTAAGCCTTAAGGAGTGAAATCAAAACAAATTTTCAAAACATATAATATTATCAGGGCTACAGGTACCCAACTTAACAATGGTCTAAGGAAGTAAAATTGCTCAATTCTCCCATGCAAAGGTTGCAACGCTTTAATATTATAATATTTTATATAATTAATAGTATGTATGCTGGCATACAGTATGCATTAAAAGGCATGTGAGTCTGTTTCTAGTTTATAATGCATCTTTTTTTCACTGAAAGACAATAATTTCTTGTACAATTTGTATAAACAGGTCTACATATCTGATAGACCAATATTTAATTGCAATGGAAGTTATTTTTCACAAAATCAGGTTCTTTACCGTATCCATGTTCAGTAAGGGAAATAGCTCTTGTACTTTCTCAGGCGTGATTAGATACTGCTCTGTTGGGTGCCAACCAGCACGAGTCATTTGGTATTTGAACTCATCCACCCTAGTAGGGGTAGAAGCAATTCTGATGCTGCCAGGCTGATGAAAACCCACAGCCTAAAACAAAGTGCAAAAGTGAATTACTGAAAGAACCTTTAGTTGTCTCCATAAACGCATGTTCCCATGCTATGGGAAGTCTACAGGAATTTTGCCACTAACATCACTGAAAAGAGATTCAAATAAGTTAGGTGCCCTTGAAGGAACAGAACTTAGCTGTAAACTCCTAGAGAAAATAAAACTTTTTAAAAAGCTATCAAATTGACTTCCTAGGTTAATACATACTATCTTCAAAACAGTTGTAAAAAGCTTTTATTGGATGTCATGATACCATTATTTTTATTAAGAGTTGATTAATATTTGAATTTATGCACTCATATACTTTCACAAATAGAATCAGATACATCTCAAAAATAAATATATAATAGTTTATATTGAAGTCTATCACCTGCATAATTTTCTATTGACATGCTGTGGAATATATTTAACTGACTAAGCACCTTTATTCACACAATGAATAAAGACCTGCCTTTTTTTGTCTTTTTAATAAAGTAGAAATACTTACATAGCTGGACACTGAATGCTTACTTTCTCATATACACTATTTACTTCACCTTTTCTATGTTACTTCACAGGACATTAATATGGTTAAGTCTTTTAGTGGAACTCACAATGATAATCTGCTGTAGTATCTTATCTAGCTGAGCAGTAGAAAGAAGAAAAAAACATTTTATTAAAATTATTAAGTTTGTAGACTAATACAGTGAGGATCGTGTAATTTCTGCTGCAATCTGAAGCAAGCAAGGGTTTAGTAAATGAAATCTATATGGCTGAGTGATGCCAGATAAAAAAAATGACTCCTGTGTTTCTTTGCATGCCCATTCCTTAAGTCACTAAATAAAAACATATCTCTGAAAGAGATGTGAAGAATTGCAGCAATCTTCTCAAGTACAGACAGCATCATATCATATGAATTTTTAAGTAGACATGTTTAAAGCAGGCATGTATCATAATCAATCCATTCATTCCAGATCCTTGATGCTATTTTAACACCCATACCAAGCTAAAGTTGCAGACTGTCAATCTGCTGAGCTTCTGAGATATTTTATGAAAACCATTTTCTTAAATTTTAGAGGGATCTGGGAAATCATCTAAAATATTTAGTGACTAAGCACCAGACTATAGTATAGATAGGCAGGCAGAAGAATATATTTCAATAAAAAGGAAGCCTTATGATAGTCATAAACATGCACATATACAACTTGTCAATTCCAAACTTTTTTGTAAGACTACTAGTAAGGTTAGTATTGATCTGAATTAATACTTTAGAGGTTAAGGAGATTACCTGTCCAGTCTCTTCTTCCAGCTTTTCATAGAGTTTGATGCTGTAAGAATGGATTTTCTTCAGGTTTATTCCAGGATGAAAATAAGTAGTTAAACCAGCCTCAAATAAGAAATAGGAACAACAACATAGACATATGATTAGAAATGCAGTGTTTTCCTTCCCTCCTTCCAACCATCATTCAAAAAAGAACTGTCAAGATACTGTAAAGAAACTGTAAAGAAAAGCAACACATGGATGGAGCCAATAGCTATAAAAATCCAAATAAAATCCTTTGCCTACTTATGGCACTCTTGTTCTCTGCACACATGTTTTTCCACTTGTCTTTCTCATCAAATTTCTCAACCCGTGATACTGTCGCAGTTGTTCTCTCCTATGGTTTCCTTAAATTATTCAGTTGTCTGTTTCAAATCTTTTGGAGGAGCCACACAACTCGGTTCCTGGTCAACTAAATCAACTGATTAACTCTAAATGTCCTATAGTAGGATCTTTTCCATCTTGCAAATAAATGCAGATGGGACAGAAACCGAATCTTCACAAAGACCAGACCTTAACAAGCGTTACTACTTTCCTGCGGTGTGAACAGCAGGGCAGTGGAAGTCAATATTCCTCTATTTTCACCAGCCCTCTCATGTGGCAGTCAAAGAGCAATTGCTGCATTTCAGAAGTACCTTAAGAAATTACTGTATGTATTTTGCACATCATTTTACCAGGTCTAACTTTAGAAAGCTGCCAAGCCCTTTTGGGTTCATGCAAAGGTAAAACCAAGAAGTTACTACAGCCTCTTCTATATTTAAGGAAACTGTTCACCTGCCTACAATAGAGACAGGTGCATCAATCTAATGACATTTCTAACTGCAGACATTTAGCACTTAAAAAAAGCAAAATTAAAGTGTTACTGAAGTTAAGCATACGTCTTTGTATCTCCTGATTTTGACAGCTCACTAAAAGCCTTCTTCCAAGTGAGACAACAGAAATGCAAAATTACTTTAGGTTCTCAAGATAAGTAACTACACTGATTTAAATACCTTAGCATATCTTGCTGACTAAAATAAAAGTTTATTCACAGATTAAGGTTGTTGCAATTAAGGGAGTTATACATCAGCGTCCACCTTTGAGTTCACTGCCATTCTGAGAAAAAAACAGCAGGAAATATAAAGGTGAAAGGTAACACATATAGTAGAGTTTTGATAGTTTCCTTCTAAGTTGCCTAGTATGCATACACATTAACTACCCTTGATTTCAACTTGTCAACTCTGTTCTGTGCTACATAGCTTAAGGCTTTAACTTCTACAGTTAGTGGAATAACTGTATGCATATGAATAAAAAAAGCAAGATTTAGTGGTTTTTAAAGATACTTTTTAATTCAAACTGATTTAACTATGCTAGGAACCTATTAAATGTTACACTTTTCTAGAATTAATATCAACATATAGTGCATGAATTAGATCAAACATCCTCATTTTTTTTAAACCATGGCCTCTTCTTACCCATCTTTCTTGGTGAACATCACATTTAAGACTGGATTTTTTTCTTCAGAAACAATTAGCTTAAAATTGATCTTAGCAAATGGCTTACACTCAGATACCATTTCTGTCAAAAAACCATAAATCACACTCACTGCCTGAGATGCTAGGTACTCAGTATCTTCAGAGCAAGAGTATGAAAACTGTCCCGCATTACTCATTGTATGTCTTTATGCTAGCCACAGTGTTAAAAGTTTTTCCTACCTTTCTTTGTGAGAATTTTCTCTTTCTGGTACCTTAAGGTTTATACACAAATCATAATGTACCACATTACTGAAATGCCAAAATAAACCAATGTAAAAAAGTCCAAAATTAATCATTTATCAGTATTATATTTTTCAGTTCTGGCTGTATTTTATTCATAAAGTTGGCTCTAGTTCCTAAGTATGTTTGTTACTGTCCATTGCCTCAACAATCTGAGTTAAAAAAGTGATCACACAAATCTGTAGGAGGGACATAAATCTACTAAGGGCCACCATTAAGCACAAAGCAGGCATGTTAGATTCAGAAAGTCCCTAGGCTAAATTAATAGCCTCGAAAAAATATTGTTTGTCCTTTTCTTATTATCATACCAGTTCATCATCATACTGGACACCACTGGAGACTAGATATTTGACTAAATGTGTTTTTGATCTCATTTGATAACATATGCTTTTATATTGTTGAGAACACATTTATTTTAATTACCTCAGACTAAAACTCAGGGCTGTTTCACTGCAGAATTTGTAATTAAAACTTGCTTGTATCTGAAAAAAGTAAGCCCTAAGGGCCTTTTTTCTGTGTACATAGAATAAAGAAATAAATTAGGCATTGAAATGTTTACATTTCTTTAGCCATGTACCAATTACCTATGAGTAACTAATTTACTTGTACCTGCAAATTTTGTCATCTCATATTCTTTTTATTGTCTTCTTTTATTTATGGAAACATTTTCTGCTCTTCTATTATTTTCCCACATGTAGTAATATATTTTCCAGATGTAAGGAAATTCCATTTCAGTGGTGACTGTTAGTAAAGTCATTTGGAACCAAATGAACCACAAATCACTTGCAAGTTAGCTATAAAATCATATAAATTCAAGAGCATTTAATTGCAGGAATTAAATAAAACTTCTCCCTCTGAAATTTTTAAGTGAAGAAAAGAATTTGAAACACATTTGATGCCTTTTGCTTTCAGATAATGAATGTTTCTGATTTCAGGACTGCAGTTGGGACACAACTATAACCTGACTTGACTATATAAAAATTAAGAACATAGAATCATAAAATAGTGATAATAAAACAAATAGATTGAATGGGACCTCAGGATGTCTCTATCCAACCTATATATATATATATGGATATACCACCAGTATATCTGACTGTGCTATACTCAAAGCACAGTCAGCGATGAGATCAGAGCAGGTTGCTCAAGATTTTTTCCAGCCTGGTCTTGAAAATCTCCAAGGACAGAGACTGCACTACTTCGCTGGTCCAGTATGGAACTTTGCATCTGTCCTTGTTAAATTCTGTGAAGTTCCTGTCCTTCCTGTCCTTCCTGTTCTTCCATCCTCCCAGCCTGTCTAGGTCCCTCAGCATGGCAGTCCTTGAGTGCATTCACTGGTTCTCCCAGTTTGGAGTCAACTGCAAACTTGATAAGCATGCCCTTCATCATCTAGTCCAGACCGTTGATAAAGACATTCAACAGGATGGGTCCTAGGACAGACCTCTGCAACACTCCAGGCTTTGGACAGAGTATGACCCATTAACCACTACCCTCTGAGCCCAACCATCCAATCTTTTAACTATCTAGTTGTCCAGCCATATAGACCATAACATCTTCAGTTGAATATATGAATATTATGGGACACAGTGTCTAAAGTCTTACTAAAATATAGGTAAGTGACATCAGTTGCTCTCCCCTTGTCTACAAATTCAGTCATTTTAACATAGAAGGCAATCAGGTTCGGTCAAACATGATTTACACTTGGCCAATCCATACTGACTGTTCCCAGTCACGTATTTTATCCTTTATGGGCCCAGATCTGAGACTTACTCCATGATTTTCCCAAGTACCAAAGTATGGCTAGCTGGCCTTTAGCTCCTCTGCTCGTCCCTTTGGCTTTTTTTGAAAATGCATACATACGCCCTTCCAATGTTGGGCACCTCCACCATCTCCACAGTCTTTCAAAGGTGATACATCTGCAGCCTTGCAATGCCATCAGCAGCATTCTTGGATGCAGCCCACCTGGTCCAATGTATGTGCATGAGTCAAGTTCTCCCAGTAATCCCTGGGTTGATCCTTATCCACTGCTGGTAGTTGCCCTTCTCCTTGAACCCTGCTCAGAGCATACAGGCTTGAGAAACCTTGTCAGTGAAAACTCAGGCAAAGAACGCATTGAGTACTTCAGCCTTATTAGTGTACACTGTGACTAAATTACCCACCTCATTCAGCAACAGTCCCGCATTTTCCCTGTTCAGCCTTTTACTACTAATGCAGAAGTAGAAGCTCTTCTTGTTGCCTGTAATGTTCCTTACAAGTCTTAACTCTAGTTGAGCTTTGGACTTCCTAACATCCCTTCACATGCCCAGGTAATTTTTCTAAATTGCTCCTTTGTAGCCTTTTCCTGCTTCTACCTCCTGTATACCCCATTTTTTCTCCAGAACTCAATCACGAGCTCCCTATCTGGCCCAACTGGTCTCCCAATATGTCTGCTTGTTTTCCTGAGTTTCACGGCGAACCATTCTTGTATTTGAAGATTTGCTCTAGGTTTTGCTCTATTTTCATAAGACAGAGATTTCGTTATTGTAGGTGAACATGATCTGGGAAAATAATTTTAAGAATGGCCACTTTGCTATGAGAATTGACACAGAGATTTTAAATCATTTTCATAGTTGAAATTTTATATGTTGAAATGTTTATGTATCAGTTTTGTTCTATTCCAGTCTATTTCAGATTTTATACTAATGCCATTATTAAATTAGCATTCCAGAGGAAAATGGTATTAACACTGTTATATCCTATATTCTCTCTTCTTGCAAGTTTGACCAAGTTGTAAGAAGTGTTTATCTGTCTTGTGCTGTGCTTTATTAACTATCAGCAGCAAAATCAATTGCATGTTGCAAAAAGTATCATATAACAGAAAGATATGTTAAACATTTTCTTAGAAAACACCTTTTAAAAAAGTAACAACACAAAAAAAACTATTTGCTGAGTGCATTATACATGCCTTGCTCAGTTCCTAGGACTTCGGTGAGATTCCAAATGATCTGATCTGCAGAATAGTGCAACTTCAAGAGTTCTTAAAGCCTAAGTCTTGACCTAATTTACACACATGTAATAACCACTACCTTGTCGTGGTTAGGCAGGTATAAAAATGAGCAGCACTTACACTGCTATTTGTATCCTCTTATCAGCAGTAATATAAAAATGTGCACACTTTCTGAGCTGTTTTAATAACACACATGAAAATCTGCCACATTTATCTCAGACCTGAGAAGTGGAAGAAAGTTTTGGCAGCAACACCAGCAGGAA